AGAGAGAGAGAGAGAGAGAGAGAGAGAGAGAGAGGGAGAGAGAGGTGAATGGAGTCGCCGCCACAGGACGACACCTGCTCGATCTGCCTTGGAAGCTTCACGCACCCCTGCCAAGCCAATTGTTCCCATTGGTTCTGCGGTGAGGCCTAACCCCTTCCTCCCCTTTCTCTGCTACCGAATCTCGAACCCTAGTTTGCGGTTGTAGGATGCAAGTTTGACATTCTTTTGTTTCTAATCCCTCTCTGTTTGGTTACTGATTGCAATCTTGAGTCCTAATCCGCAGTTCTAGGGTGCAAATTTAACATTCTTTTGTTTCGAATCTCTGGGGTTTCTCTCTCCCGATTTCGATCGAGTTTTCACATCGAAATCGGGGTGTTCCTCTCTGACATCCTCACCATTAAGTGGGATCAATTGCAATCCAATTGAGCTTTCTCATTGAAATCCGAATTTTGCGCTGATCTCTTTCCCCTTGTTAATTGGGATCAATTGCGAAGCTCATAATGATTATTGGGAGCATGGGATTGGCCACATTCAATGGACAAGGATTTATCTATAGATCTTAAGCGAGGGAGTGAAGAAGTGGAAGATAAGGGAAGGGATTAGAAGTAGAAAGAGGTCGATTAGGGAGCAAAGCCGCCGTCAAGGAGGCTAAAAAATGGACTCCTTTTCTTCTTTCCTTTGGTCGGTTCCCACCCGTTTGAAGGGATAAGTTGCTATGGTGATAGAGATCAGTGACTAATATTTCTGCCAAAGAATTTAGCCTCGATTTAGTGCTACCAAATAAGGCTTAATTAAAACAAACAAATTAATTAGGTATCTATGATGTGGACAACTCCACATCTGGGTTATCAGTGATCATGAACTTGCAGGATACTTTTAGAGTGAAGTATTATTGTTTGTTTGCTAATTAATTATCCTGAAACCAACTGAGAAACGTTGACGTATTGGATAAATAATGAAATTTCTTGTAGGATGGCTTTGCCATGTGGAAGTTGATTCCTATGGCCTATTCATGATCCTGTGGCATCATAGCCTAGATTTTGTCATGTTTTGTTTTATATTTTCCTTTGTTCCCCATGTTACAATGTATTGGTTCCCAACGCCAACTCTGTTGTTTAGGGACTCTCACGAACTGTTCTGTTTTTTTACAGCATCAAAGTGTTGCTTTAATATGTTTGGTTAACACTTTGTCTTTGAAAGTTTATATGTAAACAGTCATTTGCTGCCTGTTCAACTTTTCTCCATCATTCTTCATGCTTGAGATGCTTTCTCAAAAAAATGACGGCAACTTTTTTTAATTCTACATTGTTTTCCTTTTCCCTGTGATTGTGTTCCAGTCACTTTCCGTCATTGGTTCTGACATGAATTCTTGTTTTCATGGTGATTAATCATTGAAAATAATTAAAATTTCCCATCCTCTGTGTGTGTGATATCTCCTGTAGTTAGTCATTGAGATCTTACTTGAATTAATGAAGTAAAACCATTTACTTTTTTCAGTAGCAACATTCATCCATATTGCTGATCATTACTGTGACAAAATTGCTTAGATGATATGTATGGTTTGTAGCTTTAAAGATTAGTGTTATCATCTACCTTTAATATCTTGATTGATATGCACCTGATAATACCTGATCAACACTGGTATAAGAAAATAGTTTGGCACAACTGTTGAAGTTAAATGACACTACAGTCAGAAGTATTATTATTTCTTAATATATTGTTAATTGATTGATCATGGTCGTTTAAGATTATTCTCTATACACTCACAGGAGAGTGTATTCTGAGCGTCTGGCATCATGGATCCATCTTTCAGCAATGCAAATGCCCCATTTGTCGTTGTTTCATAAATTTACTGAAACCTACTGATGCCAGTGTTCAAGAGGGCAAGGACAGAAAAGCTAACCAGGTTCTTAAAACCATTAAGAAGTACAACCGTTCATTTGGCGGAGAACCATCCAACCTCATGCAGGTAAATTCCCATTATAGACATGAAATTTCATAGGGGTTAATAAGAAAGTTGATTCTAAGAAATATGATCTGCCTGTCAAATTCATCTTGTTTCAAATGATAGATCCCGGGAAAAGACTTGCAAATGGAATTTATGCTTTTATACAAACCTTTACTTTTTACAAAGTGTTAAATTTAAGATATTGTTAGGTCAATTCCAACAAAAAAGTTAGTTCTAGTTGGGAAGGAAAAATTATAATAAATTGATGGAATGCAATATTCATGTTGTTTTAGAAGGATGTTAGAGGGAAATATGAAGCATATCCACCAATTTGTTTTCTACTTCACCGTATGTATCTAGTTCATGTGTAAAGCATTTAAGTCCTAAACAGTTAGAACATTTACTGCTCCTTGACCTGAGGCTCTGTTTAAAGAGAATTTTCAGATTATTTGCTTAGTTTATTTGTGTTGGTGTTATTTATCAAGTTATTTGATGCATAGATGATACCACAACCGAAAACCAAGTCACTAAAAGATCATCTATTTTGGAATCACAGAAGTTACAGAACCTTCCATTCTTCATCAGAAGGCTGGCAATGGTACTGATGGATCCGCGGAGGCCACTGCCTTCTCTCTTCAGAGCACATATCACTTTTGCCGTAAGTAAAAGTGAAATTTCAGGAAAAATGATGATGCATAATATTTTAAATTAATTAGTTACAAGTCTGTATCTAGTTGCTAAAGAGCAACTCTTAGCTGTATGCATGCATCTGTGCATGCAGACAAGCAGGGTTGCGGATCTGCGGCATCAGTGCGTGGGTGCAGGCCTGCTTGTGCGCATGCACATTCTCCTGAAATTGTTATGTTCTATAAAACTGCATTTGTTGTTGTATGCAAAGCTATGTCCTGTTTCTTTCTTTGTATGTTTTCTCTAAGAAGTTCTTGATGTTTATGCATTTGTGATTCTTAAGTGGCATAACCAACATGTCCAGACGAGTTTTGTTAATTTGATTGGTAGTTATTTGTCTAATAACATATCTAGGTTTGTTAATGGAAACGTTGGCAATTACTGTGCACTCATAGATATGACAATCACAAACCAAAGTTAGGTTAGAATTCTTTGATAGTAAAGGTGCATAAACAATGTGTTCGTTGGTAAAAGAGATGGTCTTGCATGGGCTCAAATATAAAAAGTGGAATTCTGATATATGTTCAGAATTTTGACCCTAGATGAGCAAGATGTCATAACACCAAGTTATGTCCATATTATTTCTAGTTTGATATGCTACCAAATGTTCCTATATGATCACATTAAATACTTATATATATATTTTTCCTTCAAGGCTATCATTCTGTTGTTTTAATATGCTTATTCACATCTCTTCCAAGGAAAAAATATATCAAACTACACTTATTTGGATTTTAGAATTCTGATATTAATTGAGGAACCAATACAAGTGACAGTCCGATGACAAACAATAAGAAAATAAAGTTTTAGAACATTATTGTAAAATTCATATGACCAATTACATTTCACCTTGATTTTAGTACCAGTAACAATAAAGAATTGATTGTAACATGTGAGAATGGCGACTATATGCCGTAGAGTAATCCAGATATGCAGTCCTATGCTCACAATTAGGTGGACAGCATATGCTAATTTTAGGTATATCTATCTGGCTTACATATGCAATATTCTATTATGCGTAGCCACATGGTTGTACACCACATAAGGAAACACTGTTTGGAACACTGAGCATGTGGAAATTTTGTTTCTATTTCCCCCTTATCTGATAGTAGCACCAAATTTTAGTGACAAAATTATTGTTACTATGAATGGAGATGAGAACACAAATAGAAATCGCTTTGATCATATATACATTTTATGAAAGGTAAGTTTATTGAGATTTAAATTTTTGCAGCTGTCACTAAGTGCAATGTATGTGCTGAGTCCGGTGGACTTGCTTCCAGAAGGTAAGACCACATGTTCATGATTATTTATGGGTATTTGCCTTAAAAAGTTTTGTATTTTGACAACCACATATCATGTTTTAACAATTGATGTTGACATTGTTGGACAGACGTATATGGAGTCGTTGGTTTACTAGACGATCTCCTCGTTTTGCTGGTTGTTTTCCTGCATATTGCTTTTGTGTACTGTTTGGTTCATCACCGGCATGGAGGTTCTTGAATTGCTCTCATCTCCAGCCAAATTTGCAGGTTATTTTCATCAACCGTCAGAAGATGCTGTTCATTGTAGCACTGGTAATCTCTATTCTCCAGTATTTGCACATGTTATTATTTCATGTTAAAAGAAGTACTTGCTACTATAATCATATGTTGCATTTTTTTATGCCTCTACATGTTAAAAGTGATTTTCTGGTATGCCATAGTGCTTGCTTAATGAGGGATTGCACTTGAATTTTATTAGTCTCAGGAGGGTTGCTCCATATTGTGGGATGGGCAAACCTTTTTAAGTTGTCATCAATTACTGAAACATCACCAAAGTAGCTTCTCTTCTAGGTTTCCAGGATAGCTTGGTTGTTTGAGTGATGCCATCTTTTCCCAGTCCTATACAGATGATCTTTGAAAACTGATCCAACCTTAGGAAACTAGCTTAGTATGCCCAACAGTGACTGCTCTAAAGTTGTGGGAAATAAAAAGTATTCTGGGAGTTGATTCAAAGAATCATAGTGTTGGTCAACATATTGTTTTCTTGGTGTATAACTAACCGGTTAAGACAACCATAAGGAGTTGTAACACCATTTTATTTCCATCCACTGCATGCCAACATGAGTGTCATTTGGAGGTGTCAAATCTATGTATGATACGGGTAGTTTATTTGTTTCTGAAAATATAGTTTGGTAGTGAGAAAAAGAAAGCGATAAAAGAAATGGTCAAAGATTTGACATATTAGAGGTTTCAGTATGAAAGAAATGTCAGACAATGCAAATCAAATTTTGTAATGTAAAAGAAAATTGAAAGATTTTAAGTTTACAGCCTGACGCAGATGAAAACTAAAGTAGGTTGAGGGCAAATCGATGAATGTAAGAAGCCAGAGAGAGAACAGAAGGTTACAAGATTCCAACAAGTCAAAGAAATTACATTAAGACAGCTGGAAAATTGCATTTCAGATGGAATAGAAGTTACATTAGCCTTAGATCCGAAAGCCTCAAGTCGATGTAGAACAATTGGCGAGTTTTGATTCTGTTAAGTTAGGGTTTTAATTACGTGGTTTTGATCATTTGATGCCGGCAATATCCCCCACGGAGAGCGTGTATCCCACGCAGCGTGATGAACGAGAAACACATTAAGACACCTATATTCTCAATCACTCCATCAATTAAATTAAAACAGATTGGAGTACAAGCAACAATATCAGGTGGAATAAAAAAATTAACCTTCCTTTGCTTTATCAAACATAGCATAATAATAGAAATGATAGAAGAAATCAAAATTCGATGATTTTTCCATCTTTTGTGAGTCTAATAAAGAACCTACCACGTTCTTGATTGCCTCCATGTGTTTTAAGTCTGATTGAGGATGTACTCGTCCTTAGAAACTTTATTAGATCAAGTAACAAAAAAAAGACAACCTTATTAGATCAAGCAAGAAAAAAAAGAAAAATGATAGAGGAAACATGAAAACTAAAATAAATGACCAATGAATTGATGGCTATATTACGTTTGAAAGAGAGGAAAACGATAACACTGATTTTATCGTTCTTAGAAAAGCAATGACAGTATTTATCTTTCTTAAAATGATAATAATAATGATTAAAATTTATAAATTTATCTTTCTTAAAATTTAAAAATAAAAATCATATATATATATATTATATTTTAATTTTTATTACTGTTATTGATAAAAGTACAATGAAAAATATATAATCATAAAATTAAAAAAAAATTAATTTACTAAATAAAATGAAAGAATTTCTCTTGTAGTTTAAAATTTATACACAAAATACTTATAAACCATCTTTCATATCCATATTGAGCATGTATATATTCTCTTCCCTACCTAATCGTTTCTTACATGTAAAATAAAATTTATAATTAATAATCATTATATATATTTATAATTTTATTTAGGTAAATATATATCATGTCACTAATATAACATTTTAAAATCATTGATATAAGCTATTTAATGCTAAATATCTTATGGTATGATTTTTTTAGCAAGCATAATCCTAAAATATAATATATGTACAATAAGAAGGTAAAATTTTCCATTGAAATATTCTATATGCTTATATGCACACATAGAAATATAACAAATTCATACACTTGTAAACATTATATCATATCATGTACACTCATACATCACACATCATCGTAATATATACATGCATTGCTACACCACACGTCATAATACATAATACATAATATATTCTATATGCTTGTATTCACATATTACATGTCATAATATATATATATATATATATATATATATATATATATATATATATATATACTCTCACATCACATGTCATAATACATATATACATTTCAACACTATATGTCATAATACATATTTGCACTCTCACACTGCACGTCATAATACATACGCATTCTCACATTTCACGTTATAGCATATACATATAGTGTACGACGTAACACATTCACGCATTCTCACACCACACCATAAAAAACATGTATACTCCCACATCACACATCATTATATATACATGCATACAATAATTTTTATTACAATTCATATATTTTTATACTTATAAAATATATACATTCATATTTAATGCATGCTTAACTCATGACAATCAAAACATACTTTCTGAAATACATTATGCATATAATAATTTATATGATCACTATTCAATTGTGAATTAAACTTATACTTGATTGAACTAAAAAATGAAAATGCTAATGAAAGATCACGTTCCTTGATAATTGAGTGTGCTAGGAAATGATACACCTATCAAGTTAAGAGCATAGTATCATAAGATACTTTAATTACGAAACCTTACCTAATGAATTGCCAATTTATAATAATTTATAAAAAAATTTGATAAAATCCCTTATAAAATAAATTATATTCACCTTAAAAATCTTTCTAGATTTTACCATCAATTTTTTTAATAATTTACTCTATAATCAAATGAACTAGTTGGTATTGATCAAATCATCCTACTATGAAGAAATTTCACTTTACTATTCTAATTAATTAAACGATCTTAAATTATCATAAAATTTTAGAAAAAAATTACTCAATCTATAATCAAATGAACTAATTAGTATCGATCAAACCATCATATAATTTTACGAAAAAAATTGACTTTACTATTCTAGCTGACTAAACAACCTTAAATTATCATAAACTTTTATAGAAAACTAATAGACATAAAACTAAATTCAACTACCAACATATATTTTGTCCTTTTATTATGTTATTAGGTTAGGCCTATTTGAATTTATAATCCACATATCTTAGTGTATATAGATAGTATTCACTTAACTCCTAATTTCACAAAACTCCAAGGAAACCTTTTAAAACATATCAAAAAGGAGAAAACCTAATCACATATCTAAGGGGGCCAATTTAACTTGAATATAACTCTTTCTCAGAAAATAAGGGACTCTTAGATATCTCATATTGGGACAATCACAACTTTATGTACCAATCTCATATTGATGTCATATTAGAGGCCATACAACTATAAGAGAATCATCCAAAACATATCCAAAAATCAAAGATAAATTTGAAATCTAGGTGACTCAAAAGCAATAAAAAAAATCTGCCTATAATCTATAAAACTAAAACCCTAGATATAACAAGAAAAGATTAAGTTTTTCTTACCTCAATCTTTCTTAAAATTAGGGTTTCTTAGCCTTAATAAAAAAAATTAAAAAAATGACTAAAGAATAAGAGAAAAAAATATAAGTTATAAAGTTGATAGATAAGACAAAGACAAGGTTAGAGATGCTTAAGAGATTATTTTGAAGTCTAGAATTTAATCTCATTACGCCTTATTTCAAATTTTTATCATCTTTTTCTTCTTTTACTAATATAATTATAAGACTACAACAACCTCAATTAGCATATTATAAAACACTAAAAAATAATATTTTTAAAAAATATATACTTCATTCTTAATTCAAAGTGTATGAAACTCGAATATCACACACACACACACACACACACACATATATATATAATTTAAATTATCAATTTGATAAAAGAAATTTTCATCTACAATCAAAGCTCAACACAGTCTGTCCTAGTTGGCCCACTAAAATCAAACCAACTTCTGCAGCAGCATCCGCCAACAAACATAATGGTAAAAAGTTTGAATCATAGTAAATCCAAACTGTATCAATGAGTCAGACATGCTGACATTATGATAAGCAAAGGCTCAAATGCCTTTGTACAGCAAATGATTCTTCGTACTCCCATGCTACCATGAGTCAGTGCAGAATGTGTGAAGCGAATACACGAGAGAGTATTTTGAGAACCATTTGGTAATAGGTAATCTTCCTCAAGCTAATTTTATCAGGTCTTGACTTTTGGAACCATAGCAACCAGCCACATTGTTTTCCAGTCGGCCCTAGTAATGTCACATGAAGGCTGCTCTTTAATGAGGGAACTATATGGATTCTGGCAAGTCATGATCCCCTTCAGATGGGGAGACCAGCACCAAACATTTTCTTCTGGGGAGAGTGGCACATGGATGACAGCTACCTTCTTAATCAGGCTAGGATGAAAAACTTTCAAGTAAATAATTTATGTTACATTTGTTAGCATAAAGCAAATCAGCAAAATTGCAGTATTCATCACAATTTACAAATGTAGCCGAAAGAGAAGAGGAGTACCACATATGTAGGGATCATTCCACGTATTGATACTGGGTGTTTGTTCAACAGAAAATCCAGTTTACCTATGAGTTATTCTCTGAGTGGAAAAATAACTGACGGTTGGAAGAGGGGGATGAACTTGGAAAGGAACAGATAGAGACTTCTTTCTTGTGTTGCCTGCTTAGCTTTGGACTCTTTGGAACCATCACAACGATTATCATAGGCCTAGGTAAGATCTCTATGGCATAGAGTGTGTGCTCTAATCAATGAGGAAATGATTATGATACACCAACCCTAGGGGGATGTAGAGAACTGGATGCAGCAAGAATTAGCATACTACCCAACTAACTTTGGGTTTGCTACTGTGACTGATGCTACATGGGTGAGTGCTGCTAATATCGCAGGTATAGGTGTTGTCATTAAGGCCGAGCATGGACAGATGATTGCTGCGGGATGCTCTCCTGCATCAGTCAGTTCGGAGCTGGCTGCTGAAATCGAAGCAGTGTTGGATGGATTACACTTGGCAGCTGACAAGGGGCTTCATAGCAACTGGATCAGATCAGATTGCCTTCAGGTGGTGAAGGCCCTAAACAATTATGATGCCATGCCATGGATTTTTTAGGAATATACTAACTCTATGACTGTTGCCTATTTTTTGATAGAGTATCAGTTGTGAAATGTTTTTTGCCTAGAGAATGTAACAAGCAGGCTCATTGTAACTCATAGTTGGCATGGTGACTTACCATGGTCTTATGGGTATTTTGTACTCTTAATTTATATCTAATATAGCCTTTTGTTTTAAAAAACAATACTTTTTTGTTTGGAGAGCTCCAAAAGGCCAACATGTTATTAGAAAGTACACATTCAATGAAGTCTCATTTTTAGACCAGAAAGTGCAGTGAAGCTCTTCCTAATATGCGTATAGAAAAATAAACAGTGAATGGATGTCAGTCTATTCTACTAAACGACATTAGCAGCCACTGATGCATCAAATTCCAACAGAATGTGCAAAGAGAGAATGCAGCTCACCAAGTTTCAATTGTGGCGGAAGTCGGGCGAGAATTGATCCCTTAGGTTACTTGTCCTGATGTAGCTTCAGGTAATAAGAAATATGCCACCCTACCCCTCAAAAAAGAAACATAAGGAACATCGGTCATTTCTTTTGTTAGAAGCATGAAATCATGAGGTTCTAAGGTGAGAATCATACATCTCCAACAGCAAATTGATCATTTACATTCAGCGGAGGCTGCACCCACTTGGACATATATATAGGCATTGTACCATATTTTCTGTCATAAGTGCACTTATCTGCATGACAGTAATTGAAAGAAGTTATTCTAAGAAACCAAAGAATAGACTAAACATGGGCATAAATTCACCACAAACTTGGAAAAGGAAGGAATGACAAACCTGAAACTTGCAAGTGTATTCGGTGCGTAACAAATGCCTGCATATGTAATTAGCAAGGATTACTAAATTATCCTCATTTGCCACAAAAAAGACAAGGAAATAGTCAATTAATTCAACCCCTTCCATTGATGAATGCAATGGGAACACATAATTATTTTGTTTGCAGTTCTTTAGTGTATTAGTTGTGCCAAAATGCAACTCATATAAGCTTAAAAAACTAATGATAAAAAACATAAAGGAAACCTGCCACGCCGAAGGCATGTACTCACGGTACAAGAACTTCTCTATTTGCTTGTTTGAAGTTCTCCATTGGTTTCTATCCTCTGAAGACCATGTTGTAGGAGTCCTGTCAACGGAAACAGCATGGCAAAGAAGACTTCTGATCAGTAGTTCCAATACGACAAAACATTTTCTTTAGTACAGAGAACTAGAGTTACTCTGCCTGCTGCAGCAATACCAAACAAATCAACCCAGATTTGTACAATTTTGGTCAGAACAATCATAGAGGTTTCCTATGAATGAGTTCTTTCAAGATCACACACATTCTCAATTTTTCTGACACATCTTCTGCACTTAAACATCAACCAAAAGGGTCAAAGAAATTGGCAGCCGTTGCCATGTAAGGTCCTAAAAGTTTATACAAAACAATCATGAATATTAACACAAAAATTAGAACTGGGAATGTCCTTACAATATCTGCAATTATGTATTTTAGCATGTTTATGCCCTCCAAAAGTTGGAAAGAACACACCCTTTTGTACCATATAAGTGGACTGTTGTATTTTAGTTATCCAAAAATAGCTTCTTTTTTACCCCAAGATTTATTTTTACAAGGGAAAAATGAAAGTTTTTAAAGTAAAAAAAAAAACAAATCATGAACTTAGTGGCAAGTTTTGTACCCTTTTGTACCATATAAGTGGCAAGTTTTTTAAGTAGAAAAAAAATACAACCTCCAAGAAAAAAATATAAGTTTTTGAAGTAGAAATAGCAAATAGCAAATCTTGGACTTAGTGGCCTGCTAAATTTGCATTGTCAATATTAAGAAGGCTTGAGGCTATTTAACTAAGAAAATGTCAATATTGGAAAAAGAACAGGCAATGAACATTTATATGTCTACCTATACCACAACAAAATCCAATGAATTACAAAGTCATCAAAAATCCATACCGCAACCTCCAAGTCCACCATCAAGACACGCACAATGAAATGAATGCACTAGAAAGGTCAAAACATAGAACTACAATATACCAATTCTAAAAAAATAATATACCAATTCTAGATATCAAGTTGCCATATTCAAAGTGAAAATATTGGAGAAAAAATAGCTTACTGAAACAAACCATCTGTAAGGCTACACCAATATGGCAAGAAAAAGCCAAACAGATTGGCAGTGAAAAAGATATAAAAGGGTTAGAGCGAAAGGTATATGACAGAATATGAAAAACAGAACAAGAGCGAAGATCAAGTGGAGAGATAGGTCACCCAGACAAAAGACAACTCTCAAATAGATTATGTATCTTCATACTTGCACAATCCTTCAACAGAGGGATAAATCTAAACCCATAATCCAACTCTTTAGGAATGTTAAGTACAAAAAAGATAAATTTAATCCTTTAACAAAAAGATAAATTTAAACCTATAATCCAACTCTACGTCAAGAATCCATTAATCTCATTGTCAACCATCTCTTCCCCTCCAGGAGAAGAAAAGCACCTCGATTTGTAAAAGATGGTCTCTATATCATGGTTATTGCATGGAGCACAATGATATGTCGCGTTCAATTTTGAACCTCACTTATAACCTCATAAGTCATAAAATAACAATCGTAACACATAGCATTTTAACGTAACAATTGTAACACAGCATTTTAACAGATACAAGTTGAGTGTAAGCAAAGGGAGCAGTACTAATATCAGGTTATATCCAAGTATTGTTGTTTCAGAGCATATGCCGAGTATAGTTCGCATTACCGGCCTGTAGCAGTGTACCAATCATCTGTCAGTATGATACATACCAAACAGTACCAAACATATCAACACATAATATACTGAGGTGTAATGATGTACCGCCCATATCGGTCCTCTGTCGGACTGGTACATACCGCCCGTACCAAGCAGTATGCTTCGATATGTCAAACCTTGATGCCAAGTACTTTTTGGCACAACAAAATGACATGCAAATTTGGCAGCCAGCACAGGCTAAAAATTGGCTACATTATGTATTGGCACCTTTAACATAGGTCACCAGAATACATTATTAACTCTCCATCACCATGCGTGTTGACCTGTTCTAGCACATGCTAATCGACAAATGCAATCCTTTGTTATATCACATTCATCTATACCAAAGACACTTGGAAGGAATATACTTTGCAATGTCAACACTAGATTAAAGAATGGTAATAAAAATTTTGAAACATCAAAAAAATGGATATCAACCAACCTTTGTACATCAGTTGTTGATGATCCAGCAAAAAATATACATGATTTGGAGGCCAACACCAATAGAGGTTGCACCTCTAAAAATTTACGCATTTCTTCAACAATAGATTCCACCAGATTTTGAAATGACATGATTTTCCTGCAAAACATGCCAATGAGACTAACAAAAAAAGATTGGTCCCAGGCATTGAACATCGATTTATCCAATGTGTTCAACATGAGGCATGCTTAAGGAGAGTAGAAAAATGAAAATGACAAGTGAATTTAAGTTTAATACTAGGTAGGATATCAGAGGAGTCAGATGTATAATCTATATATAATCTGTTAACAAATTAGAGAGCCTTTGAGACCTGTTAATAAAAACATAATAACGAGGACCATAAGACCTAGTCTTTTCAATGCGCTTGGATGATAAGTGGGTTGAAAAGGCTTCTGTTATAACTCTAGTCCTGATGTAAGCTAGTCCTTTAACTAATAGGTGAAAAAATTAAGACACAAATCGTACAGTTTCAGACATCAACCAAAACCCCCTTAAACACAACCCTCAGCCAAGAAAAGGTCATGTGGGCTTTGCATCTGTATCATGGTACTCTTACCCTCCTCCAAAGAAAATGAGGTGATCTCTTTAGACAACACTTCTCATATGAATCCTCTAGTCATCCTTGCTATACTGCTCCAGAATTTGCATGTACAGATGCCTTCTACTGGAGCTTAGAACGGTGTGGAGGTCCACATAGGACTCTTATTGAATTAAACAGACATTACATGTGATCACCATGTAGGAAGATCGGATCTTTAACAACACCCTTATTCAGCATAGGTTTTGAGAGTAAAAAGAAGCTGACGTGAAGTATACCTACCTCGTACAATTACCATAAGGTGAAGGCTGGGAAGCTCTATCAATCCAGTAAAAAGCTCCAATGCTGTCAAAGAAAGTCAAGAAAATGTCATCAGAGTACAATCAGTTTCCTGGGCATGCTAAGTTCATTTGTTTGAGATATGAAGATAAAGGTTCACTGAAAACTGAAACAGGTGAAGAGAAAAGGATAACAAAATTTACACAACAATTCAATCTTAAGACCTAACAGGGCCACATGATTATGTTCAACGGTCTAATTAAATTGTCATAATTTGTCTATCACAAACCTTATTTGATCTTTGGTAACAAGTACCTGGAAAAACTAGGCTAAGAAAAGAATTATTGCTTGTTTTTATTGGGATCATTGTACCCTTTTGGAATTGTATTCCAAAGTTCACTTTCCAATTCATGATAATTTTGCATTCCTAGTCATTGTGACACCCAATACAGATCCACAAATAAGGAAAGCAATCAAATCTTCGTTATTTAGTTTTGCAAGAATAAGCCAAGACAAATAAATTTCATATATGTTCCAACACTAGAATCCTTGCAATAAAAGCTCAAAATAACAAAAGCACTAACAAAAAGAACATCAATGAGTTCATGCCTAATTACTTAACAAGACTGGCATCTTACTTGTTATAGCAAGTGATTAAATGTTAGATAGACAAATTAAAGAATGTTACACCTACATTTTGAAACATAATGTAAGAGAGATTTAAGGTTAAGTTCTAACAAGCAACTTCAAGTTGTCCCATGTTGCCAACACCCAGAGCCTCCATCCAGATAAACATTGTCAGCTATGATGTCAAATAAATCAAGATGAGTTATCATACTTGTCAAAAAGAAACATAGATTCAGAACCTTCAACTTTCACAATGAATCAATTAAGCTCCAACCAGTACATTTAGCTATCAACTGGCAAAAATATCATAATATAAAGCTAACAAAATAAAACAGCCTATGAAGGATGGTGAAACCACAACATGATGAATGGGCATGAATGTATACATCCTAAAAGTGAAGATAACATGCAAGTATTATTTATCAGGTACATGAGAAATTTTGAGATAAATAACTCATCAATACAAAGCAGATGAAACAGGTTAAAAATGCTACAATTATACTACTAATTTATAACATTGTTAAATGTAAAAATGGACGATATACCAACTCCCACCCAACACATCAAATATATTGTATATTTAGTAATCATGGATAGCACCAAATTAACTATAGAATGTTATGTGAAAGGGACATGCGGCGTAGTCTCAAGTTATTGATCTAATGGTGTACAGAATTATTTTCGTATTAAAAGATGGGAAGTTGAAAACAGATGAGGACCTATCTATCATAAGGAATTGGATACCAACACCAAGAGCTTCACTTTCAGTTTGAGCGTGTGAGTGCATGGTCTGTAAAATCAATCAATACAAGAATGGTAAACTGAATCAGCTGAGTCTTTTATATGAAAAAAATAAACATTAACCATGCATTAGTCCCAATATTTTTCTACTTCATCAGTTATCAAAATGGTATATCATTCAAATCTTTTGCACTGATACACTGGATTACTAGAATTTACTTGTTTTTCTCATAATGAAGAGTGAAGTTAATAAAACTGTGTGATCTCTATAACTATCATACTCATGCAATTAAGGGCCATGAGTATAAGTGAATGCAAAGCTGCATTTGATTATCAATGATCTAAATTCAAGACAACTATGAATAGAGATAATAATGACATATATAACTAAAACTTTTTTTTATTACACTTAAACATTGCAATTCTAGAAGTTAGCATTTGAAATATTTGGAAGGATGCAAATTGCAATATTTAAGCTATATATTCATATGTGCAGTTTATTGTGAAACTTGTATTTTAAAGATAAATGATTTCAAGTTTTACAAGAAAAAAAATAAGAAAAGTCAACTTAAGCAATGCTCATAAGCACCTTAACAAATCATTATACTGTGAAAGCTGTAGGTGCAGGTACAATGTTTATGTCAAAGCTGAAAAAATATCTACAATCTTCATAAGTATACGAGCAAGGATACAAGTTCCAAGTCCTACTATTTATAACGTGATATTTGGTTATTGAAGAGAACTTGCCTTCAAAGCAGCTATAAATTCATAGCTATCGTAACAACGGATGTACAAGAAGCGCCTCATGCAAGCTAAAAGTAATTCGTCATCATATTCTTGAGAGCCCTCTTGTACTCCATGACCAAAATTGTTGGTAGATCCTGTAAAAGATTAATCTAAAGTGAAATCTTCTAAAAGTAGCAACTCCGGAAAAGTCATTGGTATAATGTGTGAGTTTATACAGAATATATCTTTCTGGATAGAACAGAAACATAAGCAGATGAACAGACATGCAAGGGGAGTGATTAGTAATAATAATACTCTTTCCCTCAAGAGTCCATTTGAAGCAAGAGAACATATCAGTAATGAAGTTATATTTTCCAGTAATGAAAAGATACTAATCCACTTCAATCGGAAAAGAGAAGTCAAGCAAGCATAAACATTAGATTCATGATCACCAGCATGTATAACCCAACCCTAGAATTATATCCAAGACAAGAAAATGAGAAAACATCATATGACGAGAGATAAAGTAAATCAAGTCATGAGACACATGAGATCTCACTTGAAGAAGACCTTTTTCTTTTCTTTCATTCTTCATACAGATTTTAGATCTTACAAATATCCTTTTCCTCTTATAGTAGTAATCCAATAACAGAACCTCAAGCTAGAAGCATCTTTCTCCAATGCAAAACTGAATTAATTGTTGACTGCAACCAAAATGCAACATGCTCAACCTTAAATTACACAAAGATGACTCAATCTCAACTATGCAGAAACAGCTGATATGGAGACATTACTCTTCCAGAATGACCTTCATTTTCCAGTCTAAATCTTCTAGTAGTTAGTTGCAACCAAGCCAACTGCCAAAAGCATATAGCGAAAAACATTACCCAGTGAGGATTTTGTGCCACTGAAAAGAATGGTCAAACTCAGGAATCCCATTTTGCCAATCAACAAAACTGTTCCACTGGTGAGAATGCGAAACACCAAGTTCTAGATCCAAGCAACTGCAATATTCTTAACAAAGTTCTGAGTCATTCAATGAAGTAGGCAGTAAATTTGTTAACTATGTTCGCTCATCTATTTGATTAGATAATATGAGAGGCCATTTATGAGCGATAGAAACCTACCAGTTTTAGTAAAAGGCAAGGGCTTGGGTGTACATTTACAATGTTTGACCGTACTTTTTAAAAACTAGTAAATGCAAAGGAAATCACACTTCATACTGTACTAAGGGCTTTCTAAAGAATAATACATAGAGCAGATATATGAGACAGATACATCAAATCTCTGGCTACTTGTAACCAAAGTATTGCTCTAACGACAGTATTTTTCATCTTCCTGATCTTGATCCCTTGCTCCATTCGGATGTAATGCCACTAAATTGGATGAGACAGTAATCGTTAAAATGCCAACCACCGGTTAATAGGCAAGGAGAGAAGCTCCAAAATGCTCACCGAGAACCTCCTTTATACGGTGCTTCAGGATCTGGGAGAGGCGGAGCACATCGAAGCGGCAATCTAGATCGAAGTAGATCACCATGCGTTCCAATCCCCCGAAACGGAGACCCCTCCATTCTCTGGGTAGGATACAGTGTACAGCAGCCTGGCCAAGCGAAGCGGCACGATCATGGGTGGAGAACTGGGGGGCGCGGCGCGATCGGAGAGCAAGGCGAGCCGAGGATAAATCCATGGGTTCGGTCGTACCTGGAGGAGGACTTGGGACTTGGCGGAGGGGGAGGGGCCGGCGATCTCGACGACGTTGCCGACGCGGAGAGGGAGGCGGTGGAGGGGCGGTAGGAGGAGGAAGGAGCGCTCCGTGAGAACCCTAGCGAGCATGGCCTTAGCGCTCTCGTCGCCATGGATCCAAGCTCGAGGGTCGTCTGCGTCCGTCATTCCGCTAGCTAGGGTTCGGAGGAGCGACGAGCGGGAGGACGAGTCGACGTTTGGGTCGACGTCGTGACAGTTAGCGAGAGCTTTGCAATGGTAGCCGACCAAGTTTTAAGTCGGCCCAGCCGGCTCAACTAACTAAGTAGCCAAACCTGGACCGGCCCACGGACTGCATTAATTAATGCAATTGATTTAGTTAAAGAAATGCTCATTTAATAATCCACAGTAGTGTGTTACGAAAACAGCCTGACATCTTGTCCTTGCAAAACAGAACATTATTTTCATTTTAAGTAATTAATTTACTAACTTATGCGTTAGAGAGGTTTTTCTCACATACATGATCATATCCCTACAAATTTATCAAACTCAAATTATTTATGCAGCTCTACTCAAGAGTTTTAATATACCAAGGCCTCTTTCTTTCCATGAAAGAGGCCAAAGAAATGCTGATGGGCATCTCGTTTCCTACCCCTAATAAATAGTTGGCTGCTCTCTAGCAAAATATAATAAGAATGCTACAGAAAACCTTGGGCTTCATGTCTCAGACAACTTTACAAGATTCTTTAATAACTTTACAACTTACTGCTAGAACACAGATAAAATGCTCAAATCCATCATCCATACAAGCAGTAGAATAGTAGGCAAAATGGTTTACATTGTTCTAGTTTATGTAACATCCATAGTTGTTGCATATCAATTGACCTTAAAATTCTCCACTAGCATGGACGGCTTTCACCGTCTTATCATACTCGTCGTCATCGTCATCTTCCTCTTGTTCTTCCTCCTGGTTCTCTTCCTTGCCTTCTTCTTCCTCGAACTCGTCTTCGATGCCCACAGTGCCTGGGACAGGCTGCGATGGCTTTCGAGGTGTCCTGGCTTCTGTTAGTATTTTCATGATCTCATCGACCTTCTGTGTGGAGTAGGTAGGAGTATTGTTATCCTTCCTGTAGAACACTGCTTGCGCTGCCTCTGTAAGCTCCCTGGGCAAGTTCTTCAAGAACCAAGGATGGCTTTTGATTTCTCTTATTGTAATCCTCTGCATTACACACAACTCAATTGATACTCTTCAGAATATAAACAAATAGAGAATAGAAGACGAAGATACTATGAATTACCTTCATTGGATTGGCAACAAAGATCCGAGAGATGAGTTGCTTGCAATCCTGAGATATGTGAACATAGTCTGGTATCTTGTACTGAACGGACATTATTCTCTGCAATCCGGATTTGGAGCCAAGCAAACAGAAGATAATTTAACTCGGTATGTTATGATAGGATAAATCAAAAAAAATTCCTGTGTGTATTCTTATTGAAACTTGATAGAACTATGTCCAAAGAATAAAATACAGTATAAAAGATGAGTTTGCAACTTTACCCCAATGGTTTTCCTGAAGTTTTTAGGATCCTTTTGGTCTTCGAATGGATAGGCTCCCACTAGCATGACATACAGAGTTACTCCACATGACCATACATCTGCTTGCTACACCACATTTTTCTAACAAACAATTAGATTTACAAGTAATTTGACAAATAAGCTGAAAATAACATGCAGACTGCTATTGTCAACAGAGGATAGAAAGAAAAGTGAACAGCCCCGATTATGTGAAACCTCAGCTTTCAACACTTTACATAATAGGCAAATTTAGAAGCATCAAACCGAGAAAACTAAGCAAACTCTATGGAACTCTGACATCTTCACCAGGATAAGAGTCTAATTATAGTGCTTGCCACACCACATTTTCTAGAACAAAATTATGTTTACAAGTAATTTGCAAGTCAAAAATAACAAGCAAATTATTACGGTCACGAGGATATAAAGAAAAATAAACTGACCCAAGTATATGACACCTCAGCTTTTAATACTTTATTCAATAGCCCATCTTAGATGTAACAAAACCAAAAAAGTAATCACACTCTTTTAAGCTCTAATGTCCTCGCTAGGATACGAGGCTAACTACAATGCTTCTTGCTATGCTAGATTTTCCATAACAAAATTACGTTTACATGTAATTTGATGTTAAAAAAAAAACAAATGAAAATTTGCTGCAGTCACTAGAAGATAAAAAGAATAATGAACTGAATCAAGTGTGTGATACCTTAGCTTTCAATACGATAGGCAAACTTAGATGTATCAAACCCAGAAAACTTCTCACACAAGGATATTTATTGTCCGCACCAGAGAAAAGAGCCTAATTATAAATTGGCAATTGGTATCCGAGGATGTATTGATTAGTCTCTTTGTTGTCTACACTCCAATAAGATTTATTGTCCTCACCGAGTCTAGTTGTAAATTGGCAATTGCTTAGTCTATCCGATGGTATCCCCGGTGAACAAAGTAGACTTGGGCCCAGAACATCAAACATCGTTCCCTGACTTGTTCCATAGAGTCAAGTGGACCACAAATGAACAAGCATTTAGCGACCAACAATAGCATAGATGTCAAGCCTATAAATTTCAAGCTATTTAGAATGATCAGACACTCCATCAGAAAGTTTTACTATTCTGTAGTTTCTTATCCATATCTGACTTCAAGAAACATTGAATGTAATGTGCATTCAATTTGGTCAACAGTTTTAAGTACCAATCTCCTCACGTATATGATTCCAAGAAGAATTGAATGTGCATTTAATATGATTTACAGTTGCATCCAATTCTTACATTGTTAAGTCATACATGGTCTAGCCAGTCATTTGAATAGACCGCCAATTGACCCAATCTCAAGCCCAGTTTATTACTAGTGATCAGGAGAAAAACTAGTCGGGATATCCAACTCTTGGCTAACAAATTAACCAAGGAGATGCAACACGAAGCACATGAAGTTAGAGTTTCTATGTTGATTGTCTTCTAGGCAATTAATCAGGAGAAAAACATCAATTAGCACTAAAAATAGCACCTTCTAAAAAATAAAATTAATAATTCATGAATTATCTAACAGATCAGAAATTAATAGCAGACAAGCATGTACTGACCTTTACCCCTTAGTTGCTTCTCTCTCTTTTTTTTTTGGCACTAGCAGAAATTCTAGAATGGATCATTGATGGCCACAACAACAATTAGCCATCTATCACATCTTGGACTTGGACACAACTCATTTAGGGTTCCCAATGGTCTGGCCAGCCCTAGCTCTATAAAATTCAAGCTTTACCACACTGGCATAGAAAAAGGTGTTCCAATTGGGCAGCTCGAGAATGAAGAATGCCAATTATAAGTCCGGTTACTAGCACTCCAATGGAGTACTAGCTCTTATGGTACTTTCCATCAATGATTCGATAGTGACTAAATAAATGCCCTGTTTCCTAAAGTAAAAATAGAAGGAATCACCTTTTTTTTCTCAATCTCATTGTCCCAATTAAAATTTTCCTTTTCCTCTATTCTGAGTCGTATGTGATCCCATATTAGTAGTTCCTATAGTGGAGAGGCCTGATGGATAATCCACTCGAAGCAATTCAGCACCATTGGTTTCTCTTCAGTTTTTTGTTCTCAGGTCGTTCCTATTGTTGAGATTAATTCCATGTACTGCTTGGTAAAGCTATGATCAAATTGATGGCACTGGCACCAGTGAGCGTGACAACTACGTTTAAGGCATGACTACAGAATATATTGATGACAAGACAACACAGAGATGCATATATTTACCCCTACAAATTCTTATATAGCCTATATCTCCTTCACAATATTTAGATTAACCTGTCAACATTTACCAATAAACTCCAATTAATCACTGCCTATTACGGTTATTAATCTCTAAATTATAAAATTTTAAATACATAATGTAACCCTTATACGTCTACAAATTATTTTTTCTATTTCTTTTATCCTTGCATTTTTTTTCTTTTTTTTCTTTCTATTTTCACATACAATTTGAGCCGAAAAGAAAAATATATTTCTCTAAATTATAATAAATGTTGACAAAAAAGTTAGTGGCTTAGAGCTTATAAAAGGGTTAATCCATATGATGATTACATATGTTAATCGATATTTTATTATCATTAAGCTAACAATCAACAATATTTATAAATTATCTACAATTAAGATTTGGACTCTTGTGGGCTTTGGAAGAGTAACTAAAAATCACTACCGTCAAAAGAATAATCATAAACATGCATATATATTATTGCGATTTGCCAATGAGAAAAATAATTGATCAAAGATGCTAAGTCAAAAATCATTTTGAGTTGGTGACTAAGGTCTACGCCACTTGGATGCTTCCATCAAGAACCGTCCAATGTGAGTGGGGCCTATCCCGCTTAGACTGGTTTGGCGACATCCCCATCGCTTCAAATTAAATAAATGCCACCAATTGACGGAGATCGAGACACACAGCACAGCACTAAGGACGCGCCGCGCGTGGGCGAGGGCCCTCGACACGAATCTCGAGGCGGACCCATGCCTACCACGACGCAGGTCCGCTATCTCCCGGTCAACAAGACGCACTCCTCTTCTTCTCCACTTCAGTTTTATAGATATATATATATATATATACAAGTAATTATATATAACAGTACATAATATTTCCAATTAAAATAGATATGGAATTATTAGAAAGATAATTATAATGAGCGGGTAAACAAGTAAACGAGGGAGGAGGGGCGAGTCACCTTTCCGTCGTACTCACGGCGGGAGAGGACCTCCGGGGCGATGTAGGCGGGCGTCCCCACCGTGGATTTCGGCCTCGAGTGCAGCAGCGACGACTATGGTTGAGAGTAGAGGAGATTTTAGTGGCTTTGAGCTTGTTAAGAATCGAAGAGAAAGAGAGGGGTACCTTGGAGTAGCCGAAATCGCAGATCTTGAGGCGCGGCGCCGGGCTCCCGTCGAGCAAGGTGTTCTCCAGTTTCAGATCCCGATGGCATATTTGCTGAGGCAGTTCGCGTCGAATTAGCCCTGATATGAATCTTTATCTTCGAGGGAAGAAAATGGTGAATATGATGGCGATTAGTACCCGGAAGTGGCAGTAGCTGACGCCGGAGATGAGTTGCTGGAAGAAATACCTGGCCTGCAAGAAAGAAATCGATGCAATCGCCCCGATTTAACTGATTTCTCGCGGAATCTGCGAGGGGAGATGGGAGAAGTGGAGGAAGTGGGGAACCTCGTCCTCGCTGAATCGTCCGGCGTCGCAGATCCGCTCGAAGAGCTCCCCGCCTGCGGCGTACTCCATCACGATCGCCAGATGCGTCGGCGTCAGCACGACCTAAAAGATTCCCGAAGCGGATCAGAACAACACAGCGAGGAGAAGGATGAGAAAAAGGGACCGATCTACCGACCTCCTTGAAGCGGATGATGTTGGGATGGAGAAGCGACCGGTGGTTGACGATCTCCCTCGCCACGTTCTCATCGATCTGCTCCACCCCACCCCACCCCACCCCAAAAGATGTACATCACGATCAATCTAGTGAATCGAAAAGAAGGGAAGTGAAGAGGAGAGAAGAGATCGGATGCGATGGAGCTGGCTCACCCGAGGGCCTCGCTCGATATACTTCATGGCGACGAGCTCCTTGGTCTCCTTGTGCCGCATCAGCTTCGCCACCCCGAAGTTCCCCGAGCCGATGTCCCGCACCACCTCGTACCTCTCCATCCTCCCTTCCCCCCCTCTACTCCACCGATCCCCTCCTCTTCGGGCGTCTCGATATCGAAGCAAGCGCGCAAAGCTTGTTTCGTCGTTCCGACAGCAGCAGCAGCAGCCGCGCAGGTACCTCTCTCTCTCTCTCTCTCTCTCTCTCTCTCTCTCTCTCTCTCTCGTCGTCGTCGTACGTACGT